AGAATCTGCAAAAATACCCAGTATAGCAGATCAATTTACACCTAAAAATTATGGTACTTTGTTTGTTGGTACTTTTAATTGGATTGAAATAATAGAAAGAGATCTTAGGTGATTATTTTTGATATTTAATATAAAATTTTAAATTTGAAATTTTTTTACAACATAAACACTGATTTTTTTCTTCTTTTTTGATACAGAACTTATAATGTAAGTAAATATATTATTATGTGTGTATATTCTCTCATTCCATTTCAAAATAATCAACAATTTATTTTATTGTTATTTCTACAAGATACTGGATTCAATTGCATTATTATCATTATTTTATATAGTATTAGCTGGAATTTATGTTTGTCTATTCGGTATTGTTTTATACATAAATATTGTAAATGATGAATTTTTTTTTTTTTTGCTTTCAAAAATTTAATATTTACACAATATGTTTATACAGGTTGGTCTGCAGTAATGCCTTGGGGTATATGTCAAAGGACATGTTGTTCCCGCAAATCCAAAGCAAAACTATCTAAAAAATTTGCACCAAAAGGTGTACCACTTATGCCATCAACTTTAGATAATGATGTCGATAATTTAATGAAATTTTTGGGTTTAATATTACTAAGATCAACAAATTTCTCAATTAAAAATGATGAAGAGAACACTTCAAATTCTGATAATTATTCAACGTCAACTAAAAAAGATGAAAGAGATGAAAAAGACGAAAAAGACAATATTTCAAACGCTGAAACTTCTTTACAATCAACTAAAAAAGATGATGATGATACTTCAAATGCTGGAATTTCTTCACCATTGCCAACTAAAAAAGATGGGGAGAATACTTCAAATGCTGGAAAATTTTTGATAAAAATTAAAAACAAAATCAAACGTGAGAATTCAGTTGGTCAAAAGGTTAATATGTCAAACCTACAACCTTCAAATTCGAAAAATGGAAAGCATGATCAAACTTTGGACGAACAGGATGGAAATCCTATTCTTACTGACAAGTTACCGATAGATAAAGATCAATTTGAAGATTCGCCATCAGGACCTGAAAAAGAAAAACTAGCAGATAAAATAATTAGAAAATTTTCTAGAAAAGGTAAAAAGAGTACAAATGACCCAAGTAATATCAAAAACGATGAAGATGACGACAAGATTGAAGTTCTTCAAGATAAAAATGGCAGCGTTGATGTGCCAGAAATAAATCCAAATCAAAGTGATAGTTCTAATAATAATTCGCCAGGAGCTAATCCTTCTGAAATTGAATTACTTCAAACACTTGTAAATATTGTTCAAGACGGAGATGGCAACGTTATTGATGTCACTAAGTCAAGTCGTAGTAGTATGATTAGTCCTGATGAGCTTAGAAAAAGTACAGTGTTTGAAGATGAAAATGCCAGTACTATTGATGTACCAGAAACCAGCAGGTCAGGTCGTAGTAGTATATTTACTAAAGATGAGGATGACAACTTGATAAATCCTGATGATGTTACAAGAAGTATATCAATTGTTGCGGATGAAAATGGCAATATTATTAATGTACCAGAAGCCAATAAGTCAAGTCGTAGTAGTATAATTGTTAAAGATGAAGATGGCAATGTGATAAATCTTGATGATATTAATCCTGATGATATTAGAAGAGGTATATCAATTGTTGAAGATGAAAATGGCAATGTTATTAATGTACCAGAAACCAATAGCTCAAGTCGTAGTAGTATAATTATTAAAGATGAGGATGGAAATGTGATAAATCTTGATGATATTAATCCTGATGATATTAGAAGAAGTGTAGCAATTGTTAAAGATGAAAATGGCAATATTATTAATGTACCAGGAAAAGTTTCAAGTTACATTCAGAATTAGCTAAAACTTTAAATGGGAAAAAAAGATATGATTATCGTTTAGTTGAAACATTATCAGTTTCAGCATCAACAAAAGCAGGCAGTGTAAAACAGCCACCAACTAATTGGTTGAAAACTGGAGTGATCACCAAGTATAAGCATATTGGCACTAAGCAGACAACAGCTCAATTACATCCATATAAATTTACAATGACATTGATGGAAGAGGCAGAGTCTAGAGGAGCAAAAGTTATAATTGGGCGAGTTGATGGAATAGAATTTGATATGGCAAAAGCCTCAGGTGTAAAAATTTCAACAACAAATGAAATCATAGCAGCTGACACTGTTGTTGTTGCTATGGGACCATGGAGTGGAGAAGTACTTTCATGGCTTGTGAAAAAAGGAAATAGAGCTTTTCAACTACCAGATGTATCAGGACAAAGGGCACATAGTATTGTTTTAAAACCATCTGTTCCTATATCAGCACATGTATGTTTTGTTTCACTTAATTTAGGACATAGATTTGCAGAACCAGAAATTTATCCAAGACCAGATGGGGAAGTTTATATTTCAGGAGAATGTGATGAATCAACGCTTCCAGAAAGTGCAGATGGGTACATACCAAATCCAGTAGCTATCAGAAATCTTAAAAATAATGTAAACACAGTTTCTCCAGATGTCTTAGGATGTGCACCAGTTATAAAAGAACAATGTTGTTATATGCCAATAACAGATGATGATAAGCCATTAATAGGGAAAATACCATGGTTAGATGGTGTATATATTGCGACAGGACATTCAGTATGGGGAATTTTAAATTCATCTGGTACAGGTAAAGTTATTGCAGAAATGATTTTAGAAGGTCAAGCAAAATTTGCTGATGTTAGAGCATTGGCTCCAATGAGACCAAAAAAATAATGTTTTTACTATTATTATATTTATCATAATTTTTACTAGAATATATAAGATCTTTAATTATAAATAACTTTTAATAAAAATTTTATTGACTAGAAAACCTAAAGGTTTTCTGAATGGATTCTTTGTTCACGAATGTCATAATCAATTTGAGTTATTGACAATTTACAATTTTTTTTATCCTTTCTAATTATTTTTTCATCGGATCAGGTTCTTCTTTAAGGCGTTTGATGATCTACCATCTATTGTTATAAGCTGGATCATTAAAAACATGTCTTGATCTGGTTTGGGAAAACTTGGAAGAATTCATGCAACTCGGCAAACCCTTCTCATTTTGGAACCATTAATGAGCAATCACAATTTTAATAAATATATTGCTTTTTCATATATAGAATAGAACTCCCATATTTACTTTTCTTCATATATATATATTTATAAATTTTACGATTGTATGTTTTTATTTATTTATTTTATCTACTGGAGAGTGCAAATTTGAATCTTTATAAATTGCAATGATTTCTGTCAAAATCAATTAAGGCAGAACAATAACTTTCAGATTCAAAAGGGAAATGTAATTCCTGGTATTGTTGAAAAAAACATCTCAGAATAGAAAACCTTGCATGGATGAATGGATAAAGTATTCGATTTGCACTTAGTCTTTCAAACCTTGTTCTTATTTGCAACTTAGACCCTTGAATATACCCCAGTGAACGTTGGTTCAACAAAGTTGCTCATTCTATTTATTATTATTATATATAGTTGTATATGTTATGTACTGTCTATCAGAAAATATTATTATAAATCTTCTTCCGTTAGTTAATATTAATTAATATTAAAAAAAAAAAGGATATTTTTCGTATTACATTGATCTTGACAACCAATAAAAATTTCAAAATATTTCGATTATTTTTTACAATCAATAAGATGCTCCATCTTCTTGGAGTCAATTTACCTGAAAAT